AATGGTGTAAAATGATTGATCTTTCTCAGAATTATGTTTGAAAATAATTTTCGAGTATACATGTGTATAATTTTTCATATTTCAGCCGTATTGCATTTTTGGTATCAAATCTACAGACTTACTTCCATGCCGAATCAGTTTTCCATACAGAAAGTGCTCAAGTATTTACCAACCTAAGTAGTTTAATGGAGGAACTTGCAGAAGAAAACCAGAAAGGTGGCTATTCATCTAGACAGCCTGAGCTCGAAGCTCTTTCATTAAAGTAAGTAATACAAGAAGTACATTGGACAGTTAGTGATGTTAATTTGCAAATTTTTAGTGCTGTATGTTAATGTTTCCTTGTTGATAATGGATAACTTTGTATAGTATTCGGACATTAAGATGACAAATATGGATGTTTTGGCATTAAAAAATTACAGAATGAAATATAACTTGACATTGTACGTAGAACTAGTAGTTTATTTAATAAAAGTTAGTTATTTGTTCTCAAACATTTAACCACACAATACAGTTCCAAAGTCAAGTAAAGATCTAAAACAGAGTATGATGATGAAATCATAGCCAGTTCCCAGACCAAGTAAAGATATAAAACAGAGTATGATGATGAAATCATAGCCAGTTCCCAGACCAAGTAAAGACATGAAACAGAGTATGATGATGAAATCATAGCCAGTTCCCAGACCAAGTAAAGACATGAAACAGAGTATGATGATGAAATCATAGTCAGTTCCCAGACCAAGTAAAGACATGAAACAGAATATGATGATGAAATCATAGCCAGTTCCCAGACCAAGTAAAGACATGAAACAGAGTATGATGATGAAATCATAGCCAGTTCCCAGACCAAGTAAAGACATGAAACAGAATATGATGATGAAATCATAGCCAGTTCCCAGACCAAGTAAAGACATGAAACAGAGTATGATGATGAAATCATAGCCAGTTCCCAGACCAAGTAAAGACATGAAACAGAGTATGATGATGAATGTATTTTTGATAAATTTATATATTTTTTTAAGTAATATGTTTGTTCATAAAACCTTTGTTTTGAGCAGAGACTCATCAGATGCAAGACATGAAACAAGTACATTAGAAAGGAATGACCATGCTGTCACAAATGGAGAAACTGAGGTGCCAACTACTCCTGTCAAGTCAGGTGGGCTGTGGACTAAAGCTAAATATGGTTCATTAAGAACATAATGTTTAGTGAATCTCTAGAATTCCACCGAGATAGTTTTAATATTTATCTTCCAAAAGATAGCTTTGTCACTAATATCTAGTTGAATTGTTGCTGCATTGTTTTACTCTTGTTTTTTGCTAGGGGTAGTTGTGTTTTTTATTATAATGAAAAAAAAAATTAACTAGCATTGACCATAAAACTGAATATCAACCTAAAACTGACTGTTCAAGTTTTTTTGTTGATGTAAGGTCAAAGGTCAACATCACAGAGGTGTCTGGTTTTATTCTTGAAGGCTTACCATGTATAACTAATTTAATTACTTTTTTTCTATGAAAGTTCAGTGACAAGAACCTTTCAAAGCAGCACAAAACCTGTACTTTCCAGCTCGATTGGGAGTTCGTATTGAACAAAACCACAATAAAAACTAACTATACTGCTGATTGTATGCTAAACATTTATCAGTACTTATTTTAGATAGTTTGAATTGAATTGAGGTAAATTTCCTTGTTGAGACATAACTTGTGTTTTTTAGTATTGACCTAACTTGACTGACAAGTTTTTTTTTTGGTTTTATTTTTCGTGAAACTAGTTTTCAGCTATATATATTTGTTTTACCATCTCAGCAAAATACACTAAGAGTACGACAGTAACTTGCATGAAGTCATTAACAAGTCCTTGTGTATGGCTTAGAAATGTGCATAACCCTATGTATGGATCTTGCCGTGATGTACGGTACTGTGCAAAAGTGTTAGGACAAAGTCAAAAATTAGATTTCAGGCTACTTTCGATAACCATTGGAAGTTAAATCACAGCTGAAACATCAAAAGTTTATTAACCTTCATATTTAGTACAACAGAAACTTGGTGGAAGTGCTCGAGTTCAGCAAACAGTTAATATTTTGTGTGTTCCCCCTTTTGTTTTAGTAACTGCAGACAGTCTTTCAGGCATTGTTACAACATATTTAATCAAGGTGTCCTTTGGGATTTTACTCTAAATGTCTCTAATACACTCCGAGCATAAAGTTTCTTTGGAAGTAACTTTTGATTTGTCAAGTTTTTGCTCTGTCAAATTCCAGATCTGCTCAGTTGGGTTGAGATTGGGGCTCTGTGGGGACCATTGCATCATTTGAATGACTCCAGCAGCTACTTTCTCAGCTAAGTAATT